CTGAGGGGTTTGTGGGGAGTTTAAGATCAGTCAGCGTTGTGCAGTTCAGATGCGGGGTTTTATTTAACGATGCAGCAGCGTGGCGTGAAGCCAAGGCCTCGTGTTTTCCTCGTTTCCCGTGCTGGAAGGTGCCTGTGGGGTTTTCTGCCGGGCAGCAGCGTTACGGTGCGGAGCTCCGGGCAGGTCCAGCCTCACAACTTCCCTGTAGCGACCGCAGTTGAAAAATCTTTGGGAGATTAGGTTTGTTGGAGTTTGGCAAAACGAGGTTTTGTGGTGTTTGTTATTATTTTGAGCAAGGTGGCCATGAACAGCAGCGTGCAAACTGTTTGGGCCATTCAGCTCAACAGCTAACAGGTCATAGCCATCCTTGATTAAAAGAGCAGGAAGGGGGAAAGGTGGTGGCCCTCACAGTTCATGTTAGACAGTGAGGCTTTTGGGTCAGGCGTGCAAGGAGAAAAAAGCATTCACGGATGTGTCTTAGTGCTAAGGGAGCCTCAGCATCTCGCTTATGCTAAATGGGTTATTGCCATCAGAAGACAAGTCATGGGGTGAGCAGGAGAGGGAGGGGACCAGTGGCAGGCTCAGCAGGGTAAGGATCCGTCTTTGCCAGGCTGCAGCCGATGCCGGGCATCCGTAGCTGGTCTTAACAGCTCAAGGAAGAGTCACAGCCAGTGTTGGATATTTAAAATTTTATTCGCCTCTAACTTATTCTCATAAAAACACTCTAGTCTATTTGGGTTCAGTATTCAGGCGGTACAGACTTCTGATATTATTGAGAGTGATATTAGAGAAGCAGTACAAACCAATCTACTTCAGCATGTAACCAAGCCCAGGTGGAACTAAACCCACCCACACTTGTAAAAACTAATTAGCCTGCTTTCTTAGGTTTTACAGTTAAAATACGATACTCAGTAAATGGTTATATTCACCAACCCATATAAATAAAATCTAACATGGTAAAATGGGAACAGCTGAATGTGCAAGAGTCAAAGTAAAAATATGTAGATAGGTATTTTGCTAATTAGAGCAATCACCAGTTAACTGCATTTATGTTGTAATTGTCAATTACAGGTGTGAGCTTTCCTCTTCATTTCCAGTTAAAGTTCATCACTTTCGTACAGTCCAGACTGCTCAGCCAAACGCTGAAACTCTCCTTCTGGTGAGAAAGCTTGTTTCACATCCAGTCCTCTTCCATTAAGTGCCAGATACTTGCTAAAAGTCGGTCGAACCCGTAACAGCTTGGGGGCTGGAATTGGCTTGTTGGCATGTGCTGGAAGAGAGGAAAAAGCCTCTTTCAGCATCTTCCCAGACTGCAGAAAGACCCATGGTAGAGCAACCCCGTTGCTTTTTATCTGCAACGTAAACCAGGAACCCCTTGGGAAGAATTTAACAGACAAGCCCAGATCTCAGATATCAGAGGTTTATGGAAAGTGCCATATTCACCTGCCTTCTTGCTACCAGTGAAGCTGTCGGATGGCAGGTGCATGCAATGTGCAAAGGATTCGTCACATAGCATCTTGGCACTAAACCAGTACCAGTTTTTCCCAATAGTTGCTTTCTGTCTGGTTTCAGTATCTTGGGAAAGAAATCCTGCCAGCAGTCCAAGCTAATTAGGTTAATGGCAGTGTTAGGTTTGCGGTCGGACTCAATGACCTTAAAGGTCTTTTCCAACCGAAATGATTCTATGATTTTAATCCTGGGGGCCTGTTCTGAACGCAAGCGCCAGTGGCGGTTTCAGCTGTGGGATGTGGCACTTACTTGCAACCTCCAGCCTGGCGTGGCATGTGGCCACACCAGCTCCGTTGACAGCCGACACGGTGTACCAACCAGCATCTGTCTTGTTGGCATTATGGATCAGGAGGCAAATCCTTCCAGTATTGTCATGTAGCAAGCTGGAAAATGAAGGTGTTTGTGTGTAAGTGCTTGGAGGGGGAAGGAGTGAAGACATTGAAATCAGAGTCAGTTTGCATGCTGAGGAGCTGAGAAAGCCCTAGAACCATTCCTGCAGGGCACTGCAAACTATTTAGACGTAAACACTGCATTTGTGTTACGAGCCACCAGTGATTCATCCAGGTGGCATCAGGTCCCTTCTGTAAGCCCCACAACCTCAGAGCACGATGAATGCTTTCACGTTTCAGTCCTAAAGCCACGCTTCTCCTCTGTGGGCTGCTCGAATTCAGAGTGGCACTTGGTCACAGTTTCCTCTCCGTGCCCTCAGAACAAGACTCTGAGCCTCGTGCCTGCCCAGCGCAGAAGCCTGCTCACCACGTGCCGCAAACGAGGGGCAGATCGAGCTTTCCAGCTTGCTGCTTTTAGAAACCAGCCAATTCAAATTTGACTTGACAAATACTGGTTATTGTTTTCTAACACACCAATGGCCAACTCATTAGTAGGATACCTTATTCGGTCTGTATTATATTGTACCATTTCGTTGTTTCTTTTCCAGTAAATCCGGGGTGTTGGGACAGCAGAGATCTGGCATTCGAGTCTGGCTGTATCTCCTTCAAAAACCTTTTTGCTTTGTGGCTTGAAGATGAAAGTTGGAGGTGTGTGATGTTCTTTCGCTAAATTAAAGAGGAAAGGTAAGAAGGGGTTACTGTAAGTACTGAACGCTAGCATCAGGCTTGTTATTTTAAGATTTTGGAATGCTAAATTCAGGAGGGCACATCTTCCTTACTGCAGCTCCTTAGCCTACAGGCAATTCCCATGAGCATAAGGGTGTAGTAGACACAATCCCCTTCAGGAGGAGAGTATGTATATTGTATATAGAGAGTATAATGTGTATTATCAATTCTGGGAAATTAATAACTCCCAAATTGTGGACACCCCACTTACATCTACATACACCGCTAGAAGGGCTTTGAAGAAATATGGCATCCCAGATGTATGTATTAAAATAGTTTTGGAAAAGGTAAGGTGTTTGTTATAGTTTGAGCCTGAATATCTGGAGATCTACCTCTGCTTCTTAATTGCTTTATGTCCTAAACACACAGAGGAAGGCATTAAGATTGCTGAGATTTTCCATGTGTGCCCAGGTAATTATCAAGGCTCCCAGTCTTACCAATTACTTCCACTTTTACTGCGAAAGACGATTCTCCTGCACGGTTGACAGCCACACACTCGTATGTCCCTGCATCAGATGCTTTGACTGCTTCAAAAATAAATGAGTGGAATCCCTTTTCTGACACTATCATTTTATGGAACTGATCTTGATGAACCATCCTCCCATTCTGATACCACATCACATCTGGAGTCGGCAGCCCGCTAACCTGCCAAGGAGAGGAAAGCAGGGAAGAGTGAAACATCTTTAAAATAACAAAAGCCCTTCGATGCTAGAAGGAGTTTGAGGCCCACAGATAATCAAATCATGACCCTACTGCAGAATTTTACAGTCTTGCCTAGTTTTGAATATTAATGTGGTGCTGCACGGAGAGGAGGGCTTCTGAGGTGCTGTGGAGCGACGGGCTTTAGCTACAGGACAGTGGGCGCTGTTCTTGCAAACCCGTTGTTCCCATCCCGTCAGGTAGTTTGGATTAAGCTGGAGATATTCATTGTGGGTTCATGGAGGGGGGAACTCAGCCTTTTAATCCTACAGCTGGCACAGTCAGCAGCACTGATATCCGTACTCTTTTGATAATGTATGTAAATAAACTGTCCTGCAGACATGCTCCAGGCTGTCCAGGACATTCAGAAGTCAAGCAACTGGCAGCAAAATGGCGAAAGGTCATGCCAAAGTCTGGCAGGAGTTTACTTAAGAAAAATGGATTGGAAGTGATTAGGACACCCAAGCCAAACCACAATCAGCAAACAGCCTTTGCAGTAAAGTTGCATGTGCGGAAGACCTAGGTTCTTTCTTACCCTAGGGTTGGTGCAGTTGCCATGCAGCTTCAGGCCATTCTGGCATTTTGTTTGTTTGTAATTAGGGCATGTCCTTGCCAGATTGTCTGCCCCAGCAAGGGCACAGTAACCTCAGAGAAGACTTGTTAAAGCCAGGCTAGTCCTAAACAGGCCTTGCTGGATGTGTGTCCAGCATGTGTCCATTGAAGTCAGCGGAGTCCCACTGCGAAGCACAAGGTCACCTCCCTAAATGCCTTCTTTCAGCAGGGCATTAATTCAATGAGGTCTAGAAGGTCTTCTGTGGTGGTCTGTATTTACCACTACTCAGCTTTAACCATGTTCTTACACAGCTAATTCCAATTACATTTTCCAAGGGAAAATGCTGAAACATTTACCCATCTCCTGTTTCTTGTTTATGTTGCCTGGAGAGACCCTGCACTGTCTGCTGTCAGTGCTCTGGTTTACTGAAATACAGAGACCTGTGTCTCGGAGACCTCTCCTCGTGCCGCACCCCCCAGTGAGCTAATGGGACTGAAAGGGAAAGGCTGGTATTACTTTGAAGTCGAGCCTGCAGAATCGCCCCTCCTCAATGATTACATCTTCAGGCACTTGTGTAAAACGTGGCTGAAAAAACTTTTCCTGGATTGAATCCTGTCCACGTTCCTCTCCTCTTGAGGACGGCCTGCTCCTGAAAAGTGGACAGAGACAGTTAATTGTGTAAAAGTGACCGCAGCACAAATGATGTTGAAGCACCGATTACAGGTAGGGCCCCTCGAGGTGTCGAGGGGCCCTACCTGTAATCGGTGCTTCAACGCTACAGTTCTGGTTTGTTTTTCAGCTGTAAGGCATGAGTTTTGATTGACCACTTATCTTGCTCGAGTTGTTCAATTCAACACGGAAGCATAACATATGAAACCTTGATCTTTGGCCTGAAATCCAAAGGAATTTACAAGAGCAATGTAGTCTGCGTTTCATCATGCCATGTTTTTATCATTTACATTGTCAGACCTTGCTTTGACTAGAGATTTGTCTTCTAGAATCCAAAGCATATTTGCCCCAGGTACATGGAGTCTTTAAACCTTAGTCTTTATGCTTAGAATTGACTGGATTAAGATCATAGGCATCATCAACCACCCACAAATTGCAGTGTTTTAGTTGAAAGGGTGTGAATGAACTGAGTAGTTACTATGTTACAAATCGTGAAGTAAAACAAACATTGACTAGAAACATTTGAAATAACATTTTCAAGAGTGGCACAGCAAATATTTGTGCATTACCTTACATGCGTTGTAGGAACCTGCAGCCTGATGTTTTCTGCATTCTGGTGCTGGGAAAGAAGGAGAGGAGAGGCGAGTTAACTTTAGAGAGAAGGCTTCATCTATAAAATGAACAAGAAGCCATCTGAAGTTAGGGTACCGACAGCTGCTTAAAAGCAAACAATACCTCTGAAGTCATTGGGAGAAGAGGTAAAGAACCTCGCACCAGGAGCTCATGCTCTGTTTTCACCCTGGGCTTTGCCATGACAGTAACGGGCACTATTAATAGAATGGGATGACTTCTCTGCGCTCTGCACAGGTGGTAGGTGCAGCAGTTTTGTTTGGCACACGAGGCTTTTGGCCAGCCAATAACCTTTGTTAGAGGGGAGTAGTACTACTGGCAGTATCTAAAATGAGAGCTAAGTACGGCGTGTCCTTCCCTATGGCAGGAATAGAAGTGGAATGGCTGGCAAGAACACTGTATTGTGCCTACTTAAATATGGTACCAGTAGCAATGACCACATGCTGAGCTGGAAAATATTTTTCTCTCTAGATCACAGCACCAACTAAGCTTGCCGACAACTCCAAAATCACGTGAGTAAATCTGCTAAAGCACCCAGGATTGATTCCCGCTAGGAACTTGGATGTTTGGAAAATACAAGCAGAGTTTATCACCAGTGACTCGTTTTGGCAGTGGAGTCAGACAGAGGAAGCACTGCATGGAAA